GAAAATTGAAAACACTCACTGGTTATTTTTTCAGGTAATAGGAATTCTCCAAGATAAATATAGGTAATTGTAACAAAACGGCATGTCAATCAAAATAAAATACATTTTCCACAATTTTCTTTCGATCAATCTCACGATAGTTTATGTTCTGCGGGCCCTGTATAAGTAGGTGTGAAGTTTACCTTCACCACACATTTTTGCCAATATATTTAATTCGAATGGGTTGCTGTAGGTGGATATTTGTGTTTTATTCCTGGTTTTGCTTTGAAACTTCGTTTTTCCATAATAAAATCGAATGGGGTGCGAAGAAGGGCTCAGTTGACGACTGGCAATCCTTTTTTACCGGAAGCCCTTCAAAAAAACAGCAAAATCGGCTCAATGATGATCTAAAACTAAAATCGAAATACGCGGTCGCCTTATAGCGCTATAAGCGCTTGTCGTTTCGAGCCGCTGGTTAGGCCTCACTAAGTGACGTCACCCACGGAGCATGCAGGCCTTGTTGTATCGGTGGTAACGATCAAGTGCATGGGGCCAATGCGCAATACAAAAAGCGAATACAGGCATTTCTGAATGTCTCAATAAGAATGGCAGTAAACGCTTTATGGTATAATCCCAAATAGATTTATCTATAGGGACCTGAACATAAACCCAGGCTACATAGACAACTACATAAGACAACACGCGGAGACTACATTCGGAAGAACGGAAACCCACGAAAACCCGCTACTGCACGACCTGACTAATAGACAATTGAATCAAGAACTAGTCCAATAAATGAAGGAGGAAAAAGAGGCAAAGTTAACGTTAATTACGCACTATTTTCATCTTCCGGTTGGAAGTAGCTTTTGGCACCTCATTGGACATGAGACAAAGTTTGACTGGAAAACGCGTGCGATGGCGGAGAAAATGGCTCCAAAAGACCAGGAAAATAGGTTTTCAGCCAATATCTCCTAAAATATGGCAGTTAGAGATTTTCGGTTCAGATAAAAATTGAAGTTCAGTTAATTTTCTACAAAAATGATCCTTATCATTTTTCTCGAAAATTTGCCCGGTTTCCGAGAAAAACGGCACGAAGCGCACCTCGAATAATGAGCTTCTGTGTTGTATGCCGGAGAGCACAGTCCGTGTATTTACACATCGGCGGGGGGGACAAATTATTCAATAACTTTGTTAAAAATGCATATTTTTCTCATGATTCAAAGTTCATGTGAAAGAGGAATTCTGCTGCTATCATACCCTGTGAATTGAGTCACGCTTGACTCTTTTGGCCATATCGGAACATGGGTCAAACTTTCTGCTCCCGGTCAATTTTGACGTTGATTTGACGTTTAATAGCGCCATCTATTGGTTCGTGATTTTCGCGAATACTAATTCAATATTAGAAAATCGAACTATTTGCTAATGTTCAATTGATTGCTTCTAGAAAACAACCTATTGGGACTTGTGATAAACTTGTTATGCAATTCCACAAAGCAATGCAAAACATACACACGATGAAGTCCCTTATGACTCCGTCGACTGCCGTATCAGCTGATCCTCCAGATTTAGTGTCATCGACACTGGAAGACAAAGAGAAGAAGTTGAGATCTGAATCTCCCGAAAAACAGTAAGTTACATCATCAAGAGCATAACTTTAGAGATAAGCTCTTTCATCAAAATTCACTGTCAAATTTTTCTTTTGGCATTTTCTAAAATCACTATTATAAGATTCTAAATGGAGGCATCGTAGATGGACACAATTTCAACACTCAACACATTTTTATTCACTCAGGACGGCTTGTACAAAGATGACCGTTTTTGAAAATACATCGACAAGTGATTCGTTCTGATGCTACGATGCTGATGACTAAACCTGCTTCAATGAAAAATGAAATAAAGCCTATCTATCTATCTGTCATGACGAAGATATTCGCGCCGACGTTTCCATATGATCAATGTGTGTGACAGCTGTCACACACATTAGACATATGGAAATACTGAAAGCGAATATCTCGTACATCGTTCGAAATAACCCTATCGAAACTGGTCCTGGTATCGTTGAATTTGTTATGATAATCCCTAACCGATTATGTGACGGAAGAGTATGAAATATTGCAAATTTGCCAATTCTCGAATCCTAGACCTCTGCCCAATTTGAATCTCATACCTTCGGAGCTCTAATGAATTCGTTGACACTCGGTATTATTATTTTTCTGCTTTTATAGGATTCCAGTATTGGTAGATGAAAGTAGACCATTTACCAAAAGTAAAAATAAGAAGAAACCAATAGACGTGCCTACAAAAATCTCCGCATGGACTGATGAAAATAAATTGGAGTTTTTAGATATCTTTGAAAAGGAGTACATTCAATATACGGCAAAGATTGAAGATATGGGCAAACGGCGACCTTGGAAAACTATCTGTATTAATATCGCATCCGGTGGCTACTATACTATAAAAGATGGCAAGTTTCTAAAGTCTGAATTACCTAAAAAAAAAAAAATTCCCTTTGGAGAGGAATATTGACGGTTAATTATGCATGATGCTTTTATTTTAGAATCGTTTTTTCATCGCTTATGGAATAATTTAAAGAGCAGAGCCGAAGAAGACACCAGAAATAAACCTTCACCGCTAAATAAAAAGGTGTTGTCATTTTTGAGGATGGACAATATAATTTATAGTGGAAAACCGTGAGTATCGTGTAGTGAAATTATTTATCGTTCAATTTTGCTTTTTCTCGGCTTCGCAAATGCAAAATTCGCTTGTCAAACAAAGTGTCACTTTTGATCCTAATAAAACAATCTACTATTATTCATGATGACCTAGTATATCCTTTTGAGTTCCTAGGAGCTAAAGTTCAACTTTATCTCCTAGGATCTGAAGTTCAACTTAAGCTCCTAGGAACTAAAAGTGTTGCCTAACAACGTACCTATGTTTGTGTCAGTAATAGAAACGTCAATTCAAGACCTAATTTTGGTATTTTGGTCGGTTGCAAAAAATGATAATTTAGGTACCTACCTAACGATACAGTGGAGTAATTGAATGCCTATAATTCAATATTAGTCTACTCGTCCATTACAAATTTCTTCGTCGCGAATTTGAGCTGCTACTACTTGTAGATCATTAGAAGCTTCTTCCAACCCGTTGACGATCGTTTGTACTGACCATGATTATTGTTTACACATTTTGAGTACCATATTGTTTGGTATGTTTATCAAAATTGTTTCGTCCTCATTATTGTCATAATATCATTTGAGGTACCATTGTCTGATGATGGCCGTAGTTCCGAAACCGGTAACGTTTTCATGTGGTCAAAGTGTGGTCGACCGACTCTGTGTTTATTTTCTTTCGTCCTTCTTTTGAAATCACATTGGACCACTTTGACATATGGATGATGTTCATGATTTAATTGATATTTGTTTCAGTAGGCAGCAAAGTAATACATTGACTGCCGAGCGTAGCGAGGCTAGGAATTCAGCCAAGGCACTCAATCTACATTTGCTGCCGTGTGAAACATGTTTTCTCAAAATGTTATGAAATAATTTTTTTATTAAAATCATTTTCTGTTCACCCAATGTCAGTGTCAATTTTGATCATCATCATAGCAACAAACTTTTCCCGCCTAGGAAGAGAACGTACATCTTTCCTATATTTTTATTTATACAGTGTCATTCATAAAGTCGGCATCATATGGGAAAAACTTTTATTAATGACTTATTTTGAAATTCGAGTTGGACGTTGAGTTTTGCTTCAAAAAAGATGAAAAATGGCCTACTCAATCGGGGTCACGTGACTTTCGCTACATGTCAAAAGTGACATTTTTTCAAATTAATCGCTGAAAGTAGGCTTATTTGTTCGAATATCGAAAAAGTTTACTTGAAAAAGTTGTTTCTATTCCAATTTTACATATTATTATGTGACTCGGATTTTATCTTTCTATTACATTTTTTAGATTCCGATATTTTTTACAAATTTTCGAAATTTCTGTAATATTAAAAAAAATTGTGAATTCGATAAAACTACTTCATATCAGTAGTTTCATCATGCTACTAACTTTCAATTAGGCACTAATTATCACTAATTATCGACTTAAATATGATTTTCTTCAGAAAATGATAATCTCCGCTACAAAATTCTGTTATGTTTAAAGCAAACATAACATCAAAATTCTGTTATGTTTGAGTCAAGCATTTAGACACGAAATTCATTTAAATTTATTTTTTCAGTACTGAAAAGATCAGTTCAAATTAATTTCGATTCTAAAAGCTTGACGATGTATCAACTTTGCATCAAACATAACAGAATTTGGAAGCGGGGTATTATCATTTTCTGAAGAAAATCATATTTCTGTCCATAATCAGTGATAATGAGTAATTGATAGTAAGAAGCATGAAAAAGCTACTGGTATGAAGTAGTTTCGTGGAATTAACAATTCTTCAAATATTACAGAAATTTCGAAAAATTAAAAAAAAAAATCAAAATCAAAAAGTCGCAATAGAAAGATCAAATTCGAGAAGCATGCGTAAAACTGAAATAGAAACAACTTTTTCAAGTAAACTTTTTCGATATTCGAACAAATAAGCCTACTTTCAGCGATTAATTTGAAAAAATGTCACTTTTGACATGTAGCGAAAGTCACGTGACCCCGATTGAGTAGGCCATTTTTCATCTTTATTGAAGCAAAACTTAACGTCCAACTCGAATTCCAAAATAGGTCATCAATAAAAGTTTTTCCCATATGATGCCGACTTTATGAATGACACTGTATAGCTGCGGATAAAGTGTCGATGTCTCCTTAGGATCCCCTACACCAACGAGGAAAAGAGACAGCTGATCAGGCTCTGCGACAAGCACATGCCTCTCATCGGCGGCAAATGGCCGGCTCCGCAAGAGTACTGGGACGCCGTGGCCAAGGACTTTGCCGCGGTGAATCCCCTGCACGACGCCGAGTCCGTCAAAAGGGGCCACCGGAACTTGCGCATGAAGCTGCGGAGCCGCATCAACGGGGTGCACGACGAGATCGACAAGTTGATGATCGAACATCTGTCCGGTCATCCGGGGAATTATCTGGAGAGGTACGGGTATTCTGGACCTCTGGGGAAGAAGAAGAAGAGTGTCAAGGTTGTGGCAGCTGCTGTGGCTGCAGTCGCTGGCAATGGGAGTACTGATAAGCTGGCTTCTCCTAAAATTGACAGGTACTATTCTAGTCCAGTAACTTTGTCGCCTGAACATATGGGGGGTAGTTTTTGCAGACTTGTTCATGATGTTCCAAGTTTGTGACCTCGAGCACCGAACGCAACTTTGTCAAAAATCGAAAAAACCGCGAAAAAATCGTAATTTTTTCAAATTTTGGCTATTATAACCCTGAAGGACTAGTTTTTGAAAAAAAATCTCTCAGGACGTTTTTAAAGCAGATCAAATTTGTTACACTATGATACAAAATCTGTCTCAGTAGACCCAATAGTTCTCGAGATTAAGCCTTTCAAAGTTTATAATTTTTTTTCGAAATTCGCGATTTTTTTAAATGTTTTACGAGTCACTCGAATATAGTCTAGCGGGATGAAGTTTCAATTACCTCCGACGGAGTGTGAAGCATATACGTATTAATAATCAATACGGATAATCTCTATCTGTTTCCATAGCGAAACATGAAGCCGATTTTTGAAGACAAATGACTATCCATAAGGAAAAGTTTTGAAACGATCACACACATACTGCTTTGATTGAAAGGCTAGTAAACGTCATTGTCCACCGAAACGCATGTCTTTGATGACTACTATAATAGCGCATGGCGCATGCGTATCATGCCACCAAATCCGGCACTGGGACGAAATAGCGCAGGACAAAATAGCGCGGACAAAAGAGCGCAGGACAAAATAGCGCAGGGACGAAATAGCGCAGGGTCATAATAGCGCAGAGACGAAATAGCGCAGAGACAAAATTGCGCGCGAAAATGGAGTGCAGGATCTATGATTAGGTTTGTTCGTTTGTTAGAGTAAGGATTCATTCTTCAAATACAAGGTGTTTCAAAATGAGTCTATACCCTAGCAAACAAACTAACCTAATCATAGGTCTACTTTAACAATCCAACGGCATACCTAGTATTAAGTTACTTCGTTTGTAAGGGTAGTCTCCTTTTGAAACATCTAGTATTTGAAGAAATAGTCTATGCCCTGACAAACGAATTAACGTAATCATAGATGATGCACTACGTTTTCGCGCTCAAATTTGTCCCTCCGCTATTATGACCCTGCGCTATTTTGTCTCTGCGCTATTTCGTCTCTGCGCTATTTTGTCTCTGCGCTATTTCGTCCCTGCGCTATTTTGTCTCTGCGCTATTTTGTCTCTGCGCTATTATGTCCCTGCGCTATTTTGTCCGCGCTATTTCGTCCTGCGCTATTTCGTCCCAGTGCCCCAAATCCTTATGGATATTCATTTGTTTCATATTTTTGGCTTCATCCTGGCACCCGTTATGATCCGTATTGTTTATTAATACGTATATGGTGTGAAGTCACGGATGCGACCCACCTGTAGCACGTTTTCAAACTTTTCAGGCAATCTAAACCACGGGACTTTTTAGCTGGTAAGATGGCGCCTGGTTGTATGGCCATCACATATACACATCCTTTGGTTTCTCATGATTGGTTCTGTTGTCAGATTCTTTCTCTTGATGGCTGTTATACACATTTCAATTCTTATTCTTGATAGATCTTCTTCTGTGGATAATGCACAGAGTTTTTCACAGAATCGCAGTAGGAATGTGAAAAAACTGAGAAAATTTTCCGATCTGCTCTCGTGTGGTATCCGGTAAGAAAATTTCACACCAGATTGTGTTTGGAAATTGAATAAATTTAGGTCGATCAATCGGCAGGAAGGTCGAGTTCTCATCACACACCAGGCGGCAGAATCCCTCCAAATCCCAAAGTGACTCGAAATCATGCATTATTATGAAGCATCGCTGACAGGATGGTACTATACAGTCTCCATTTTTCCCCGTTCGTCCTCTGGCATTGTCTTTCCTTGTATACGGTCGAGTAATCGACAAAAATTATCATTCACTCCTATGTAATCCTGATTTACACTAAAAAGAAAAGCCATCCTAAGAAGATGTCCAAAACTTATCCCAAATAAAGCAAATACGGTTTTATACTCTCACATCCTTAGTAAAATGAACTATCTCATGAATATTTGGAGTTCATGTCCCAAGAATAATTTTAACCAAACATCTGTACTATATAAAAAACAATTGAAAGTACTATATCGTCTTCCATATGACATCCATCAAATCAACTTCATGAAGAAACATATACATTTTCTTTGGAAGAGCACTATCTGATAAATACTCTTAAATTTTTTTTTGATATTATAAACTAACAACTCAAATCTAACTTCATATTGGTAAGGAATTCATAAATCCATGAACATTATACTAGACAATATGACTTGTTTCATCTTGATGCTGCTAATTCGACACTTGGCCAAAATACGTTTACTCACGGAGCTATCTCAAAATTTCTGATGATATCAAAAGTTGCACAAATATCACCCAATTCAGAATTGAAGTCAAGAAACATATTCTCTTGCAAAGAGAAAATCAGACCTGAGTGAATGATTTCTCATTCACCAACTTATTTCATCATGTCATAATGTACTTTTTCCGTCGACCTCGTATTAACGAATAAGTTTAATGTTCATGAAATCGTTCATTAATGACCCCTATTAATGATCAATTTGTCTATCAATGCACGATTGTTTTATAGGCAACCGAACATACACCGCGTGCATTCATTGTTTATGCTATAACTTACGGAATCTGCATTTAAATCGAAAATATGGATTTCATCGAAGATTTTCCGTTAACGGGTTCGCCTTTCCAAGTTTCTGACACAATTTTAATCCCTGTTTTCTAACACAAGGAATTTATTTTCTATGTTGATCATTTCGACAAGTGTCAAATGTCACTAATGTCAGTAACAAGGCTACTGGGTGATGTTTCCGGATGTATGATGAATTCGCGAACCAAGTTTTCTTCATTGCAGGAGAAATGAGAAATATAGTCGACGGAAAATGTTGTAATCAACTTGTATATTAAAAGGCGATGAATACAGTAGTTGGTTGAATAACTATTATGAGCTTTTTGTTTTATTATCATTATTTTTTAATCTGTTGTTTATTTCAATAACTTAGATTTAATAACGCTTAAATAATCTCATACCAGATATGAATCTGTCTGATTATTCATGTTATTTCATTGTAACTCCAAATAAAATATATTTATATTTATATGAGATGCAATGTAATGTTTATAGCGAAGAATGAAATGAATATTATTATCCTTATGAGAACAGTGAAGCCAACTACCTACTGAATTTCAAATTTTCACAGTAATCGACAACTGTCCATCAACCTATCCTTAAACACCGACAAAATCAAAGACCCGGAACCCAAAATCAACGCCCCGGAACCCAAAATCAACGCCCCGCAGCCCAAAATCAAAGACCCGGAGCCCAAAACCAAAGACCCGGAGCCGAAAACGAAAAAACCCGGCAAGCGCGGAAGAACATCGCCCTTCAACAGAACGAAAATGATCGACGACCTCGAAGCCATGTACGAGGCCACGCCGAAGCAGAAAATCATCGCTCTGGACAAGAACGTGTGGACCACTATGTTGAAGGAATTGTGGGAGAAAGATGGGTCAGTGGTGAACTTCAACACCGTCCTGTACTATTGGAGGATGGCCAAGGGGGATGTCGCGAAAAGCAAGATGGATGCGAGCCCTATGCAAGCGCAAGTCAGGCGGTTGTTGCAGAAACACGATGAAATAATGAAGAGTGCGCCGTATAAGGCAGTTCCTGCCGTTGAAGGAGAAGTTGCCAGTGCGGCAGTGTGAGTATCATTTGTTTTTTCATCACTGATCAATTTACTACATATAGTCCAATAAATGATGGAGGAAAAAAAGGCAAAGTTAACGTTGATTACGCACTATTTTCATCTCTCGGTTGGAAGTAGCTTTTGGTACCTCATTAAACATGAGACAAAGTTTGACTGGAAAACGCGGAGACAATGGCCCTAAAAGACCAGAAAAATAGGTTTTCAGCCAATATCTCCTAAAATATGGCAGTTAGAGATTTTCGGTTCAGATAAAAATTGAAGTTCAGTTAATTTTCTACAAAAATGGTCCTTATCATTTTTCTCGAAAATTTGCCCGGTTTCGAGAAAAACGGCACGAAGCGCAGTCCGTGTATTTACACATCGGCGGGGGGACAAATTATTCAATAACTTTGTTAAAAATGCATATTTTCTCATGATTCAAAGTTCATGTGAAAGAGGAATTCTGCTGCTATCATACCCTGTGAATTGAGTCACGCTTGACTCTTTTGGCCATATCGGAACATGGGTCAAACTTTCTGCTCCCGGTCAATTTTGACCTCGCCAGGATTTTGTTTCTATTTTTTTTGTATTGCACTAATTTACTCAAAATTCTCTTGATTATGGGTCCTCATAAGGTCCTTTGTCATCCCTGGAATTTGTATACCCTAATTTTTTTTAATTTTCATTTAATCTTTGTTTATTGAATCCCAATTTTTTGCTGTTTTTGGAGCGCGGGGAAATTTTGTGAACAACCATCAATTGAAAATTTGTACATGATCCGATTGGTTTCTATGGTACATCATTTGAAAGCTAAGAAGGTCTACTTTTCGATTGTGCAATTACTTTTTTAGACGAAGTCGTCCATTTTTCAATAAAATTAGAAAAAGCGGGGTCAAGGAAAAAACGCACTTTTTTTTCGGTGGTTTTTTTCTCCGTGCTCTTCATTTCTAACACTTTAACACCTTAACTAGTGTAACGGGGGAATTCCCACCTTTCCATCGATTTATATAAGTCATACCTTTGATATCCCGGAAAAAAAAACAGTATATCTGAATGTACATCCTATAATTTATTACTTTCGTTCCTCCGTCGTTCGCCGCGTGTGTGCTCTACGTGGCGCTCGGGTCGTCTGCTACAAACCATGCGGCTACTACAACGCCTTTTCAAGCACACATACACTGCGTTATGATTGTCCCAATGTGCCTTGTGCTATACGTTTCAGTCTGTGTTCCTTCAACTGTTTCCGTAAATGTTTCATTCGCTAGAGAATTATTTGAGCATGATACATTTTTTGAAGGTTTTGTTGCAAATTCCTCTAAATCAGGTAGAAAATTAGATTCCAGAGCGCATTGTCGGAACAAAATATCGCCAACAATACCACGTGTTTTTAGTAACCAACCAACGACCTCGACACAGTTTAGAACCGTCAGAAAGGGCAAACCAGGAAGACCAAGCAAAGCAGGTACAGCCAGACCACCGACAATGACATACATGAAAAAATACATGTTCGTGAATGACATCATCCGGGAATATGACACTCTCGCGAAAAGACAGGACCCCAGCACCCTTTTCATGTCTCCGTGAGCATATTAGGTATTAAATACTCGCATGTATCTAGAAATCGTTTTCTATTGCAAAAGAATCATCCCTGAGATGTTTTTGTGAGGAAAAAATAAAAATTACTATTTTGTACTTGAGTAGATCTCAAATTAGGATCGGACCAGTGTTCCATCATTAATTTTTTGAGCTCGATCTCAATTCCACTTTCTTCTCATCTCTTCGCTGAGAGAATTGCTGCCATTGTGAACCCTTTTGAAAGCCCTAAAATCATCACTATGTATATAGAATCCACACTGCGGGTTCCGTCTATCTTAGGACTAACCTCCAACTTTGCATTAAGTTATCATGTCACTACTACAACGCCTTCTCAAGCACACATATACTGCGTTATGATTGTCCCAATGTGCCTTGTGCTATACGTATCATGCGTGTTTCATTCGCTATAGAATAATTCCAGCACGATACATTTTTTGAAGGTTTTGTTGTTCCTCTAAATCAGGTAGAAAATTAGACTGATTTAGAATTCTATACCTTTTCAACTTCAATTTCGGAATCGGTGAGTTATATTTCGGAAAAAGTAATCTCAATTTCAGAATTGGTTAGTTCGATTTCAGAAATGGTAAACTCAATTTCAGAATCGGTGAGATGAATTTCAGAAAAAGTCCATTCAATTTCAGAAATGGTAAGTTGTATTTCAGAATTATTATTGGTAGGTTCAATTTCAGAAGATGAAATCCTTTTATATGTTTGAAATGTTTTTAATTGCAAAAGAGAAGACTGTTTACAGTGGATGGAACGGTGTTTGAGAGCCCTATGTTGAATCAGATTGAACATAAATATGGGGTGCCTTCCAGTCAGAAGTGAAGAGCTTCTTGCAAGAGCATCGCCAAAGGGTCATAGCTGGAGATCCGAACAGATTGCTCAACCAGATAGAATTCAGACTGCGATGTCTTGAAGAATGTGCAGATCATTCAATGAACATAACACCTCAAATGTGTTTGCATTCTTATAATCATGTGCAACGCCACTATCTTCCAGAGATTCAGATGGAAGGCATCTGTGGATTAAATTGTTTTCGAAAAGTTGAATATTTTGAATATGGTTTGTTAATCTCACATGCAATTGGAAACATTTCGAACAAACATAAGGATTTTTTTTTATGATATTGAACCTACCAATTCTGAAATACAACTTACCATTTCTGAAATTGAATGGACTTTTTCTGAAATTCATCTCACCGATTCTGAAATTGAGTTCATCATTTCTGAAATCGAACTAACTAATTCTGAAATCGAGATTACTTTTTCCGAAATATAACTTACCGATTCCGAAATTGAAGTTGAAAAGGTATAGAACTAAAATTCAATTCACGTCAATATACTCTCAGTATGATCAGAATTTGAACTCTAGATTTTACATCGAAGGGGAATCTGATACCTTATGTAATACCGAAGAGATACCGTGCGCAGAAAGAAGGAACGGTTGGAGGAAGCCATTTTGTATATATCTTTGATATGAGTCGATACAGAAGATTGAGGGTGAGAACTTTCCATTTTACTCTATAATTTCCAAAGAAAACCACGAGAAATCCAGGGGGGTTCTCAAGTACACATCATCATCAGTATAAAACTATCACTTTTGCTAATGGGAAGATTAGCAGGAATAATAATTTCGTCGGGGTCAACAGACATGTTTATTACGTAACCAAAATATGAATTTAATGGATTAAAGTTAATTTTTAATCTCACTGTAAACCGATCGCAGCTGTGAAAGGGTGAATATTGGTTGAATGATGCAACCTTTCATGATATTCGTAATGTTATAAGTAGGTACGTAAGCAAAACGTGCTGTCAATAACTATTAAATCACGCAGAAAATGCTAGTGGCATAATGAATTGAATTTGACCTAAGTTGGCAATTTATTTTCTTTTTCTTAATTTAAATATCATCAAAATTAGGTGGCGTCCTTTTCCAGAAATCAATTCAACATCTACAACCCAGCTCTCCAGACTATATGACTGCCGTATGCCTTGTTACCGACCTGATAATCAGGGATAAAAAAATCTTGTTAATTGATAAATTCTATAGATCATATTCTCATGACAAAAGGGTGGTAACACCTCTAAATCAGGTACAAAATTAGACTCCAGAGCGCATTGTCGGAACAAAATATCGCCAACAATACCACGTGTTTTTAGTAACCAACCAACGACCTCGACACAGTTGAGAACAGTCAGAAAGGGCAAACTAGGCAGACCAAGCAAAGCAGGTGCAGGCAGACCAAGCAAAGCAGGTGCAGGCAGACCACCGACAATGACATACATGGAAAAATACACGTTCGTGAATGACGTCATCCGCGAATATGACGCTCTCACTGAACGACAGGACCCGAGCATCTTCTCCAGGTCTCCGTGGACAGCTGTGATCCAAAGGGTCGTGGAGAAGAATCCCAACATGAACTTTCAAAGGGCGTACTCCCTTTGGAGCCGTTTCAGAGTATCGGCGAGGAGTCATGAAAGGGACGGTAGGGACCCTTTCGACGTGCAGATTTGGAATTTGTTGGAAAGGCACCAGGAGATGATGAAGGAGAGGAAGATGTGGAATCCGATGAGCCCGATGGAGGCGTGTGATAGTAACGAAACGGTTGTAGTTACGAGAGTGTATGTTATTTTGTATTGTTATGCATGGTTTTGCTTTTTTTTTGCATGGCTTCATGTAGAATAGCCCGCAAACGGATCCTGTAATGCTTCAGCGCCCCCAATTGGCATGGAAGAAACTGAATTGAAGAGGTGCAGGCATATAGCGCTGTTCTTTGGTAGGGAATTTCAGAAAATTCAATTTTTTTTTTACAGATTGCTATTCAATATAATCAAGTTGAATACATAACAAGACCCTTTTAGATATTATTGTCAACAATGATACCTTTGTTTTTGGATGTATGACAAATCGATATTCATCATACAGGACATGGAAAGGAAGTATATAAAAATAACAAGTTTCCATCTTTCAGGTTTGAACCACTTGATTGGGTGAAAGTATTGAAAAGGAATATCCTCAGATATATTATTAAAATGAAGAAAAAGTATATGCTACTTCTGTCAATTTTCCTCGCAGAATCAGTATTTTCTCCTGTAGTTAGCTCAAAAGTTGACTCAGAACTTTAATTTGAATTTTTTGAAAAAAAAATTGTCCCTCACTTGAAATGCTGTATCTCGGAAACCACTGGACCTATGGTGCTTTGGTTGAGCTTAAATTGTGGCAAATTGAATCTTGTTCAAATTAGGTATGATTCGTTTTGTCGTTACGACATACTTTTTGCTACTTTAAGCGACAAAAAGGTGCAAAAATTCCACTGTTTTCTGGGAATATCTAAACATAGGGGCCAGGAGCTATTTCACTTCCAGTCAGCTGCTTATGATCTATAAGGCACACATCCGACCTGTCCTGGAATACTGTTCCCATATTTGGAGTGCAGCACCCAAACATCCCCTGAAACTGTTGGATTCTGTCCAAAAAAGGGCAATTCGTCTCATGGGCGATGTCTTGCTCACTCACTTCTCTGGAACACCGTAGAAAAGTTGGCGATCTGGCCCTGGCCCTATGTTAAAGTTATTTTCATGGACGATGCTCTTCTGAAATATCAACAATTGTTCCTCTCGTGGCAGTCCCCGCGAGATTAACCCGTCGAGTTGAGGCTTCGCACCCCTTCGTGGTCACTTTGGAGACCTGCAGAACATCTCTTTCCAAAGACTCGTTCATCCAAGGAACAGCGAGGCTCTGGAATACATTGCCAAGGGGGGTGTTCCCCGAGGCATATAACCTCCAGAAATTTAGGGAGAACACCAATTCCGACCTTATTTCCCTTGGTTCTCACGATGTTCTCTGAACATTACAGGATATCCCTTTTCGTGGGAACCAGAACATAAATGAAAAGATGATAAAACCGACTACTGGATTTTTTGCAAGGAGAGGGTGTATTTTGCCTGGATTATATACCAAAACAATAAGCTTATGAGGTGGCAGGAGCGTTGCATACTAGTCAGTTTTTATTTTGGTTATCATTGTTCACATTTTTTTTCAGTGCCGAGGTAACTGAAACAGAGGTAACTGAAACAGTGGTAACGGAAACAGTGGTAACCGAAACAGAGCCTCCCGTAACCCCAAACAAAAAGAGACCTAGCGACGGACAGGAAACCGTAGACAGCAAGAAAACAAAGTACACTCTGATGGATCCAGCAGCTTTCAGCAAACTCGAACCGCACCAGCACGACGAAATCCTCTCACTTTTGGCAGCCACCTATCAACGAATGCTCGAGGCCAACGAGAGCGACCTCAGTTGGAAGAATGTCATCGTGAGGATCTACAAGAACGGCGGCTATCGGGACATCACCCAGAAAGATTTCATCTGTTTGTTCAACCGGATGCGCTACTACTTGTCCGTCCACAAGAACTCCGGCGAATTGACAGCTTTCGATGGCAAGTTGAAAGCGTTGCTGAAGAAGTCTGTTGCTGACCGGCAAGCTAGAAGCGTCAGGAGATCGGCAGAGAAGAAACACCATCCCGTCAAGTACGAGAAGGATTACGCTTATTGTCCTGGTCGTAAGGTTAGTAGCGATAAGAGTTCCTTAATGTACTTGACACTTCTGTTTTGACGTTTTTTGTGTATCAGAGTACGGACACTAGACAAGCAGTGACAATCAAACATAACCACAAACGATTTTGAAGCAAATCATATGTTTTGCCAGACAAGGACAAGACTATGTTTTTTGCCCAGATAAAGGATCCTCGCATCTTCCTTCCTCCACAAGTCCTGGGAAGAGTACATCCATATATCTTTCTCTGTCTTTAATTTTCGTATGGGAGTGCATAGCGTCTCCTCGAGTGGGTAAAAGGGTGTAAATTGATTAGAAAATTATTTCGTGTCGAAATATTGAATGATAAGGCTGAAGGACCTCAATGGAAGTCGATATCAAGTTGGTATGTACATCAGTGGCGGCTCCTCAGAGGAGGCAACGGAGGCTGAGCCTCCTCACATTCTGCTTAAACTGATATTATCTATACTTTCTCATTGAAAGGACACCAAAATACATGGATGTTGATTTTATTTCCTGTCTTTAGGTGCATATTTTTGAATTGGCAACAGTGCTTGCCCACGCATCACACGTTGAAGTCTGCAAATCACGCGTAAAATATTGAACTTGGCAACATCTATAGGAGGCTAGACTCCTTCGCAATTCGCAACTCACGCGCGCAATGCAAATGCCCGAATACGCCCGATTAGCACGTGTTTGTCGTGTCGCGTCGCGAATTGCGGACAATCCAGCGAGTGCATTGTTTATGTTTATGTTAGGTTAATGGTTTGGGCTCTATAAATTTCTGAAAAATGGGTGTTTTAAACGATTGCGATTTAGTGGAATACTTTTTGGTGAACCCATTCAGTGCTTTGTCTTATGAGGATAAATTGATTGTGAAAAACAAACGTCCGACACCGGAATAAAAAAATCTGATTGCAACAGGTATAGCAAACAAAATCGTTCGTTCAATTATTCTGATAATTATAAAAAATATATCTGGTTGACGGGATCTGAGGTAAGGAATAAGCTATTTTGTTGGTACTGCCTATTATTTTCAACCGATAAGTCATCATGTTGGGGGCGATTAGGATATAATGATTTGAAAAATTTGCCTCGCGGATTGGATAGACACTGCAAATCACAGGAACACATATCTTCAAGTATTAAGTTCAGGTTAACTGGTAAACAGAATGTCATTAAAGCTATTGATTTGGGTGAGTCGTAGAGAGTTGTTTTTCACAATAAATCTCATATCATTCAGCCTCCTCTGTCATAAAAGTCACGAGCCGCCTGTGATGTACATATATACCAACGAAATACATATACTATACCCATATGAAATGAGTATCTTATATGTAGATATATATATACGTTCAATTGAATATTTTTTTATCAAAAAAGTTCAGAATGGGGTAAAAACTGATAAATTTCAACCAATGAAACATACTTTTATTTCGTATGGAACAATTTCACTTGTACAAGAGTGGTAGGTGATAAGTAATTAATATATGAACAAATGGCAACAATAACAGCTGATCTCAGGATGAATAATAAAGGTTCTCCAAGACATACGGAAGTAGGTATAAAAATGGACTTCAGCACTCGACTCACTATATATCGCCGTTCACATTGCTAAAGGGGATTGTTGGTTTGATCCCGGCCATCGGAAAATCATTTTCGGTACCTAACATCACTAACATAAATGGTGCACTCGTTAAGCGTTCTTGTTCTGTGCTCTGATAATATCTTGCTCGTATCGTGGTACCCAAGACCCATGAAGTGGTTCAAAATCCACTAGAAGCTATGTAGTCGTCTAGCATTTCTCAACTACGCATGAACATGCACATCCAGACTTGGGATTTCAACTTTGAAGAAGCGATACACGATTCTCAAATAATTTTTAGATAATATAGTTCTGAATTTTGCTAACTCTGCACTGAGAAAATTGTTATAAATTCACCATGTATTTTCAATGCTCAGAACGGAACATTATTTCAGATCCAGAAGAATATTACTTCTATCGTTGAATTTTCTATTTACTAGAGGTATCTATGCGCAATTGAAATAATTTCTCATTCAGCGCGTAAATTTGCCTTCCATGTACTGAAAATAGTCGTGCAAATATCCTTCAACCAGGAGAACTTCCACGTCCAACGGAAATGTACATTCGTCTTAGCGTGAATTTCCGCGGTGGTGTCAAAATTACGCATCCACTGGGTAAACTCAGCTCCTTCTCCAGTTCATTTCACAATCCACACCACACAGGTTCGTTCTTGTTTGTGCCCTTGCATCAATTTATTATAAATTAACAAGGTGTATTTTGTGCTTTGCATTATCAACAACAGGTAAGTGAACTTTATTCAAATCTTTACATGGTTTTTACGCGATCGCATTCATGTTTCTTTATTATAATATCAAATTTCATCTTGTTTGAATGTGGTGGCGACTTCTTGTCTAGGTTATTGGACTTCCATTGACCATTATTGTCTTGACGAGAGTTTTCACGACGCCTTCATATGATTGTAGATGTAGATATAGGTACCCTGAAGTCGTAACTTTATTACAAATTTCGTCAAGCCAATGAAAGTCCATAAACCTAGAGAATAAATCTAATTTTCTGGTGAGATGAAAAAACATAACCTTGAAATCATGATGTTTTATGTGAGGAACGCCGATATTATGTATGATGTTCAGTTGGGTAGCCACATATTAAAAATGACTTTATTAAATCGAAACTCTCGATTTTGAGAGGATTATACGTTTTGAAATTGAATAAATAGTGCAGCACTGAATATCTCATGCAGTGATTAAATAATAGTTTTTCTCTTTTTGCAGATGATGAAAAGTATTATGTCGTCATAGAAAAAATGCATATTAATGAAGGTACTCCAGTATTCTTGGAGGCATACAAACAATGTTATGTTTCCTTCTCCGTAGTCAACTTGAAATATCCAGAGGAGGCACCGTCCACCCTTTAACTGATTCAACGATATTTCATGAAAACCCACTCTAATGATGGGACGAAGGCATCAAACAATTCAAGAAAAAATGGGGTGATTCGGTTTATGAAGAGTTTCTCCACAATTTTGTAACCGTAAGATGCTGTAAGTATCTTTTTCTCTTATCCTCTATCAATAATTATATGTAAAGATATTGTATCAGTTGAAAAAATATTATTTTAAGCTATTGAGCTATAGATATGGTGTCGTAATCAAAATTCTAATAATATCTATATATGAATCCATATTTTATTATAAATTGAATTCAATTTCATTGTGTCATGATGAAACTCAATGAGTGTTCATCACATTTGTTCTGGAAAAGTTTTAAAATTAAAGAATCCAATAACGAATCCGCGTGATTAGAGATCTACAGATGAAAATTTCCATCGTTCAAGTTCGTCCCGTTCAATTTTATTGAATTCAGTCTTGACTGTTTTATGGATTAACAAGACGGTAGAGGTTTTTGCTTGGTGTATAATATATTTTTTTTTTAGGACAATCGCCCTGAATAGGAAGACTCAAAATATTCTTCAGAGAAAAAAAAGTATTTATATATAATATACATAACAATTTATATTTGCATGATTAGAATTAAACTAGGAATTGAATATTCAGTTTATGATTGAAATTGTATTTTTATTTCCGATAATCATAATAGGCGGAAACTGTACAGCATTGATTATTTTATTCTGTATGATTTGTCATTGTCAAAGATATTGTTGTCTTTGGGCCATTGTGCTAGAGCGTTTGACTCTCACCCAGAAAAAAACGGGTTCAATCATTGCCCAATATAATTTGTATATAGCTAAAGTGGTAAGCGGGACAAGGTTGGGTGGTTTCCTCTACTTCACTAGAACACTTTAATATGCTATATCTACTCATCATTGTAAGTCTAGTATAGTCTATATAGACAAAATGTACCTGTAATGAAATAAATATGTATAAATTCATGATCAGAATCATTTTGCAACCTTCTGCTTCATCATTATGAAATACCATAGCAAATTTACATTTCAGTATATTTTGCACGTTAGAAAATCAGAGAGTAATACTACAATGTAAAATTCAATTGTGAATTCGAATAGAATGTGAAAAGTACACAGCATATTTCCAGTGCAAAATTTTGGTGGGAACTGATATTACAATGTGAAGTTCCATCGTGAAATTATGTCACAACGTATAATTACACCGAAGAAGTACACAGAGTTATCCAGAGTAAATTTACGAAGTGATATTACACGTGATAAGCAAAATTCCACTCGAAGGTAGATTCTCGTTAAAACAGGCGGTAATCAAATTGCCGCTACTGAGAGCGGAAAAAATTCTCCCAGTGTGACTTTTGTATCTGAATCTCTTTGCTTTAACTCATTTTCCAACTCTCTATTTCATTCTTCTATTTGTTTCCTGAATTTCTCACTCTCGTCCACTTGTAAACTTTGGATTTTTGAATATTCCTGCTCTAAAAATTCGATTCTGAAGTCTTTTCCTTTCAAAATATGTTTGAAATGAATTTCATTATCTGCATGTTTTTCGTTTCTTGTTGGTTCTGAATTGTAATAAAGTTCTTTTCAATACTTGCTCAGTTCATAGATTGTGGGTTCGGCTCTCTCTCTTTTCAATACGATCCTATTCATCAACATCAAATCTTCCGTTCTGAAGTGTACCTGATGAAAATGCGTTGAAAAATGTTCCAAGAAATTTGAATACCTCGCGAATTTTGTGGCCTGAACCTATATTCCATGCCGGCTGTATCGTATTCTGTTTCGGTTTTTGTGGAATTACGTTATCCGATGGAAATTCGAATAGAGTGAATTGATTTCCCGTGTTCTCACAGTTAGAAACTGCACAAACTTGCATCTTTCTCCTAATTCTCTCAATTTGTCAAACCTTCGAAATTTATGTCATGTACGTCCGTGTACTGTCAGTTCTTGCTTTTTCCATCAATTTATTTGTGGTTATGTCTGATTGTCAGTGCTTGTCATAGTGTCCGTACTCTGATATGGGTTGCGTGCAAGAACTGTCAGATGACCGACACTGGAGGCAAAACATTGAGATTTCCACAATTATTTTGGCATATGAATCGTATTTTTCCGCTATTCATCAATTCGCTCATGCCATCACATTGTGCTGTTGTAAAATGCACGAAAACTGCAGCTGAAGATGAAGGAATCCGGATGGTACGTTATGATTTAAAAGTAAGTACCTACTATAGTCACTCACATATAGTTTTCATTTTTGAAATTTGGTAATTTCTCTGATTTCTCATCGGAATTCCTTCTGCAATAGGAGCTAATAGAAATATACCTGGAATTTCTAGAATAATGCAAGAAGATTGGATTCATGCAATCAATCTGGAGGACTGGTCTGACAACTCTGACTTGCTGACGATCGTGTGTGTTGTAGACATTTTCAATCTATTAGCAGTATTAGCTTGTATTGCAGAAGTGGCAGAAGGCAGAAAGAATTTTAATAAGGAATGACAACATTTCATAATGATAACTATATGAGATTACTATTTACCTGAAAAATCATATTCCCTCGTCTCTTGCTGCATTTTTTGTGCATTGTACAACAGCACAATCCGAAGGCATGCTTGAATTAACCCTTTCAGTCACGACTTTTCATTTTTTCAGTAAAAATTTTTTCGTGAAAATGGGGGTTGAAGTGATTTTTTATATGATTTTTGAGAATTTTTTGAAGTCCGTACGGCCTTGATTTTTCTAAAAAAAATCATGTTCGTTTCAACGAACATGGTGACTCTACGAGAAGGAAAGGAAATAAATAACTACAACATTGTGGTATATTTCATATGGTAATCCTTGAAACAGTTACGATCACGAGTAATACATAAATGTACACTACATTTCATACAATTAAAATGTGTTTTTTTGAGGCAAGCTCCATTTTTGCACCTTGCTCCATCCCTACTTCCATCAAATATTGGTAAATTGCCCACTTCATCGAGTCACCATGTTCGTTCTAACGTACATATGATTTTTCTCGAATTAGTGTATAAAAAAATATGATATTTGATCATTTCGTTTTTTATATTATATTATAATGAACATATGAGGCATTGAAAAATGAATTTTGGAACCCAAATTCACTTACTATTTTATCGAAACAAACACGAGAAATGTGTTCATGAACAATAACAGCTGACTCACTGTACACACAGAAGGTAAATAAGCGAAACTTGTATAATATCCCGAGAGATAGTGCTACCTATATCAGTCATTGAATATAAAGGTCCCTCGCGTCTGATGTGGTGTATAAATGGAATGATAGGTGTCGCCTCAATTTACTATTGGCACGAAAAGTACATGTTCGTTTTAACGACCATGGTGACCGAAAGGGTTAATGAATAACGCAAGAAACACGATTCGTATGCCCAAATATTGTGAAAAACTTCCAGTTGTTTACATTGAGTTCATTGCCTATGACAGGTTGCTGGGGGAGAGGACGGTGGTAAGGCGAAGGAAGATGGTTCTGGATCTAACTTAGACGTTTCGAGAAGGAGGAAGAGCGCCAGCCATGTAATGTTCAATCTCGACGAGTTCTATGATAGTGAGGTGACCGAACAGATGCTGCTACCTTCGTGAGTAATAATTTTGTTTTATTGAATTTTTTGACATAGTTTTGAAAATATTGATGAATTAATGAAGGGCGAGTGGACTGGTATCAACATTTTTGGGCGAGAGAAATTCGTGGGCTTTGGATTCTCACTTATAATACCACGAGAGCTTCGGAAAATCGGAAAAACATATGTATTGCAAAACATGGCAAACATAGATGACATAGCTCGTCTAGAGGCTTTACAAAATTTGGAAGTGGCAGAAATCCTTGCTAGAAGACCAAGAAGAAGGTTTTTGCCTAGAAGGGACCCATTTGAGTGATTGTATGCTACACAATTTATTAAAGTTTTTCGTTTGTCTAAACACATCACTAGAGAATGGATAGGTACTTTAGAATCCTTATAAAGTGAATTGGGGGTGAAATTTTCCTTCATACTGCCATATGAGTTTCTCAATTCTCAGCAGGACTCTCAATTTGTGTAACGGAACAATGTCCGTACACTAGGAGGAGTACAAAGAAACTGAAAAATACTTCCTGGATTCAACTCTCACTGTTTTATTCATTTAATTATAAATTCTATGCTGACAATGCTAAATTAGTTTGTTGACCACCTTCGGGAAGGCAATAAAGTTCGACACCAGGGACCATATTTTTGAATCGAGAGAACGATTCCCTCGGGGGAATGCTTGGTATAAAATATTTACAATGTCACTTTCCAATGCTTTTTTGGCGGAATTATGAGAGAAGACGGAACAGAATAGATGTTTCTCTTGCTATCTATCGAGAGAAGCAGCGGGGAACGAAATAATTTGTTACTAAAGTGAGGGACATAGTTCCCTCGATTCAAAAATAAGGCCCCAGAGGCCGCACCCTTACTGATTTTCGCGAATTCCAGTAAGAAACAGATGACGTGGAGCAGAGAAGAGAAGCTGGCGCTGATCTCCGTAGTGAAAGCGCAAGGCAGCGCCGTCTTCCAGCTGTCTAAAAGCAATAAGGTGTGGGAGACGATCGTCCGCGAGTTCGAGACGCTGGGCTATCGGCGATCGCCGGCCGCCGTGCAGTGGTACTGGAACAGGATGCGGAAGAACGCAGAGATGGCGTGGGCCAAACAGATCGAGCCCACGGATATCGACGAGATGCTGATCGAGTTCATGACGACGGCGATCAGGGAGAAGACGACGCCTGAGAACGCGGAAGGTAGGGTTTCAGGTATGCTATCCGATAAACACTATTTTTTCCGCCTCCCAAAAGGGTATGATATCCCAAATATGAAATTTCAAAATCAGAAGGCGAGAATAAGTTCCACCTACCTCGAACCTCGTGAATGTGGGTGTGAATCGTCTCAGCAAAATATGCTTCTTCATTACAGCTGGTAGGCACTGTCATTTAGTAACCAAATGGCGCCCGAGAACGCTGAAGGTAGGGTTTCAGGTATGCTATCCGATAAATAGTCTTTGTTTCACCACCCAAAAGGTTATGATATCCCAAATATGAAATTTCAAAAGCATAAGGCGCGAATAAGTTCCACCTACCTCGAACCTCGTGAATGTCGGTGTGAATCGTCTCAGCAAAATATGCGGAAGATAGGGTTTCAGGTATGCTATCCGATAAACAATCTTTTTTTCCACCTCCCAAAAGGGTATGATATCCCAAATATAAAATTTGAAAATCAGAAGGCGAGAATAAGTTCCACCTACCTCGAACCTCATGAATGTCGCTGTGAATCTCCCAAAAGGGTAGGATATCCCAAATATAAAATTTCAAAATCAGAAGGCGAGAATAAGTTCCACCTACCTCGAACCTCGTGAATGTCGGTGTGAATCGTCTCAGAAAATATGCGGAAGATAGGGTTTCAGGTAGGCTATCCGATAAACAATCTTTTTTTCCACCTCCCAAAAGGGTATGATATCCCAAATATAAAATTCCAAAATCAGAAGGCGAGAATAAGTTCCACCTACCTCGAACCTCGTGAATGTCGCTGTGAATCGTCTCAGCAAAATATGCTTCTTCATTACAGCTGGTAGGCACTGTCATTTAGTAACCAAATGGCGCCCGAGAACGCTGAAGGTAGGGTTTCAGGTAAGGTATTCGATAAACACTCTTTTTTCACCTCCCAGAAGGGTATGATATCCCAAATATGAAATTTCAAAATCAGAAGGCGAGAATAAGTTCCACCTACCTCGCACCTCGTGAATGTCGGTGTGAATCGTCTCAGCAAAATATGCTTTTTCGTTCCAGCTGGTAGGCACTCACATTTACTAACCAAATGGCGCCCGAGAACGCTGAAGGTAGGGTTTCAGGTATGCTATCCCATAAATACTCTTTTTTTCACCACCCAAAAGGGTATGATATCCCAAATATAAAATTTCAAAATCAGTAGGCGAGAATAAGTTCCACCTACCTCGAACCTCGTGAATGTCGGTGTGAATGGTCTCAGCAAAATATGCTTCTTCATTACAGCTGGTAGGCACTGTCATTTAGTAACCAAATGGTGCCCTAGAACGCTGAAGGTAGGGTTTCAGGTAAGGTATTCGATAAACACTCGTTTTTCCACAACCCAAAAGGTTATGATATCCCAAATATAAAATTTCAAAATCAGAAGGTGAGAATAAGTGCCACCTACCTCGAACCTCGTAAATGTCGCTGTGAATCGTCTCAGCAAAATATGCTTCTTCATTCCAGCCGGTAGGCACTCACATTTAATAACCAAATGGCGCCCGAGAACGCTGAAGGTAGGGTTTCAGGTATGCTATCCGATAAATACTCTTTTTCCATCTCCCAAAAGGGTATGATATCCCAAATATAAAATTTGAAAATCAGAAGGCGAGAATAAGTTCCACCTACCTCGAACCTCATGAATGTCGCTGTGAATCTCCCAAAAGGGTAGGATATCCCAAATATAAAATTTCAAAATCAGAAGGCGAGAATAAGTTCCACCTACCTCGAACCTCGTGAATGTCGGTGTGAATCGTCTCAGAAAATATGCGGAAGATAGGGTTTCAGGTAGGCTATCCGATAAACAATCTTTTTTTCCACCTCCCAAAAGGGTATGATATCCCAAATATAAAATTCCAAAATCAGAAGGCGAGAATAAGTTCCACCTACCTCGAACCTCGTGAATGTCGCTGTGAATCGTCTCAGCAAAATATGCTTCTTCATTACAGCTGGTAGGCACTGTCATTTAGTAACCAAATGGCGCCCGAGAACGCTGAAGGTAGGGTTTCAGGTAAGGTATTCGATAAACACTCTTTTTTCACCTCCCAGAAGGGTATGATATCCCAAATATGAAATTTCAAAATCAGAAGGCGAGAATAAGTTCCACCTACCTCGCACCTCGTGAATGTCGGTGTGAATCGTCTCAGCAAAATATGCTTTTTCGTTCCAGCTGGTAGGCACTCACATTTAGTAACCAAATGGCGCCCGAGAACGCTGAAGGTATGGTTTCAGGTATGCTATTCGATGAACACTATTTTTTTCTCCTCCCAAAAGGGTATGATATCCCAAATATGAAATTTCAAAATCAGAAGGCGAGAATAAGTTCCATCTACCTCGAACCTCGTGAATGTCGGTGTGAATCGTCTCAGCAAAATATGCTTCTTCATTCCAGCTGGTAGGCACTCTCATTTAGTAACCAAATGGCGCCCGAGAACGCTGAAAGTAGGGTTTCAGGTATGCTATCCGATAAACCCTCTTGTTTTCACCTCCCAGAAGGGTATGATATTCCAAATATAAAATTCCAAAATCAGAAGGCGAGAATAAGTTCCATCTACCTCGAACCTCGTAAATGTCGGTGTGAATCGTCTCAGCAAAAAATGCTTCTTCATTTCAGCTGGTAGGCACTCTCATTTAGTAACCAAATGGCGCCCGAGAACGCTGAAGGTAGGGTTTCAGGTATGCTATCCGATAAATAGTCTTTGTTTCACCACCCAAAAGGTTATGATATCCCAAATATTTCAAAATCAGATGGCGAGAATAAGTTCCACCTACGTCGAACCTCGTAAATGTCGGTGTGAATCGTCTCAGCAAAAAATGCTTCTTCATTCCAGCTGGTAGGCACTCACATTTAGTAACCAAATGGCGCCCGAGAACGCTGAAGGTAGGGTTTCAGGTATGCTATCCGATAAATACTCTTTTTTCCACAACCCAAAAGGTTATGATATCCCAAATATAAAATTTCAAAATCAGAAGGCGAGAATAAGTTCCACCTACCTCGAACCTCGTGAATGTCGCTGTGAATCGTCTCAGCAAAATATGCTTCTTCATTCCAGCTGGTAGGCACTCACATTTAGTAACCAAATGGCGCCCGAGAACGCTGAAGGTATGGTTTCAGGTATGCTATTCGATGAACACTCTTTTTTTCACCACCCAAAAGGGTATGATATCCCGAATATAAAATTTCAAAATCAGAAGGCGAGAATAAGTTCCACCTACCTCGCACCTCGTGAATGTCGGTGTGAATCGTCTCAGCAAAATATGCTTCTTCATTACGGCTGGTAGGCACTGTCATTTAGTAACCAAATGGCGCCCGAGAACGCTGAAGTTATGGTTTCAGGTATGCTATTCGATAAACAGTATTTTTTCACCTCCCAAAAGGGTATGATATCCCAAATATAAAATTTCAAAATCAGAAGGCGAGAATGAGTTCCACCTACCTCGAACCTCGTGAATGTCGGTGTGAATCGTCTCAGCAAAATATGCTTCTTCATTACAGCTGGTAGGCACTGTCATTTAGTAACCAAATGGCGCCCGAGAACGCTGAAGGTAGGGTTTCAGGTAAGGTATTCGATAAACACTCTTTTTTTCACCTCCCAGAAGGGTATGATATCCCAAATATAAAATTTCAAAATCAGAAGGCGAGAATAAGTTCCACCTACCTCGAACCTCGTGAATGTCGCTGTGAATCGTCTCAGCAAAATATGCTTCTTCATTACAGCTGGTAGGCACTCACATTCAGTAACCAAATGGCGCCCGAAAACGCTGAAGGTATAGTTTCAGGTATGCTATTCGATAAACCCTCTTGTTTTCACCTCCCAGAAGGGTATGATATCCCAAATATAAAATTTCAAAATCAGAAGGCGAGAATAAGTTCCACCTACCTCGAACCTCGTGAATGTGGGTGTGAATCGTCTCAGCAAAATATGCTTCTTCATTACAGCTGGTAGGCACTCACATTTAGTAACCAAATGGCGCCCGAGAACGCTGAAGGTATGGTTTCAGGTATGCTATTCGATGAACACTCTTTTTTTCACCACCCAAAAGGGTATGATATCCCAAATATAAAATTTCAAAATCAGAAGGCGAGAATAAGTTCCACCTACCTCGCACCTCGTGAATGTCGGTGTGAATCGTCCCAGCAAAATATGCTTCTTCATTCCAGCCGGTAGGCACTCACATTTAGTAATCAAATGGCGCCCGAGAACGCTGAAGGTAGGGTTTCAGGTAAAGCAATCTCGGAAATATTAATGTCATTGTGTTTGATTTGAAGGGAATATTGATTTGACATTTGATAATATACAAGTTGAAAAAAAAGTGAATTATTTATACGACAGCTAGCAGCAGCGACGATTCCAGGGACAAGCCGGTGGAGGATGACGAAGTGGTCGATTTGACCTACGATTACGTGTCTTTTGACGACATTGAGCGTCTGTCGATGCAGACCGCCAACGGGAGAGTCAAGAACATCAAGTCGGAGCACAGGGATGAGGAGGCCGACGCGAACGCTAGGTAAGAACTTTGCTGTCGATTGACAAAAAACAAGAAAATATTTCAAATAATGCGAGCTCTTCCCATTAGCCAACATAAGATAGAAAGAGATAGGTATCCGTAACCACTGCGAGTTGCCTGAACAATATTTTTCCCTCACTCGTCGTTCACAGAGGATCCCTTCCAGGTGTTAACATTGAGTTCATTGCACGCAGGCGCTTCTTTTGAATTGTTCTGATTGGTTTGAAGGACCGGGCACTGACGTAACTGATAGATATTCAATCGTTGGAAGAAGTCCATGGTAACTCAAACTAGAGTGGTATATTTAATAGATGAAGAAACCCGGAGTCATCTTCACAACATTTATTTGATGATCAGAGATCGATCACATAGAGGTACATGTTTTGTGCCTATATAAGCCCATCATCAGCCGAATAAAAGAATTTAGTTATGGAAATGAAAAAGTTGAAAATTTGATAATTTGAGCAATAAAATGGCACAAGACACAGACGTATGCACCATGATTTGGTATAATACTTTTTTTTGTTCTTTATAAAAACATAGAAAGTTTTTATTTACGTTATGGGTCGGGTTATTAATTTCATAAGTGCCAACGTGGCCTTAAATTGCCAAAGGTGACAATGAAACATTCAAAAAATCGAACATACTTCGTTTTACTATCAGCAATAACCTTTCTTGGGAAAATCACGTGAGATCAATAATTGCTAAAAGTGCATCCCAAAAACTTGGTTTTCTTTTTCGGGCCAGGAGCTATTTCACTTCCAGTCAGCTGCTTATGATCTATGAGGCACAGATCCGACCTGTCCTGGAATACTGTTCCCATATTTGGAGTGCGGCACCCTAACATACCCTGAAACTGTTGGATTCTGTCCAAAAAGGGGCAATTTGTCACGTGGGTGATGCCTCGCTCACAAACTCACTCACTTCTCTGAAACACCGTAGAAAGGTTGGCGATCTTGTTCTATTTTATAGGTATTTTCATGGACGATGCTCTTCTGGAATATCAACAATGGGCTTATATCACAAAAAATTTTCATATAAAATTTCATAATTCGATAGAACTCACCCAAACTAGCTCACCACCGCAAACCGTTTATCGCTGTGAGCTCCCTACGTTTATTAAAAAATTATTGAAATCCCCGATTTTTCGGACCTCTGAAAACCAGGCGATGATGTGACGTCAAAACCGTAATACTGAAACAAGACTATTCCAGACAAAGATGAATGATACATGATTTCTGATAAAGCATCAAGATTGGTGAATCGGCAAGTTGATTTTTGGGACAAAGATGATAAGAAACAAGAAGAAGATCAATTCAAAACAAAGGTTGATGGGGTATCAAAGTTAACTTTGATAAATAAATGTTGTGGAGATGACTTTGGGTTTCTTCATCTATCTGATAGATATTCCATGAGCTGTGGTTCTAGCGCTAGTGGTGGTAAAACTTACTCGCTACACTTGCTCAATCGATGACGTTTCCAGCTGTACCAGCGCCGACGACACCACCATCACCAACGCCGAAGACGTGAACTTCGTCCTGGCCAAAGTGGAGGGTGGTGCGCAGTACGACATGGACGACGAAGACATCGAGGACAGCCAGCCGGAGTTCGTGACGGCCGAGCAGATCGGCCTCGGCGAAGAGAACGCGACGGTCGCCGTTCACAGGTTGGTGTACTGACAATCAGACATAACCACAAATAAATTGATGGAGAAAGCGGGAAGTGACAGTACGCGGACGTACATGACATAAATTTCAAAGGTTTGACGAATTGAGAGAATTGGGAGAAAGATGCAAGTTTGTGCAGTTTCCAACTGTGAGACAGTCCAGTGCCGGATTTATACTCCCTTACGCCAGGGGCTAACTTTTACGATGCCGCCGCGCCGCCGCCAAATATTTAATTTTCAATTATTAGTTTCAAAATTCAAATAATCCTTTCACTACTTCTTTTACAGCATATAACAATAACATGAAATCATTTTTTACAACGAATCAAATTATATTTACTTCACACGTTAAACATAACAACAAACAACAAATATTTTTTTCAGATGAATACTAAAATACTTTTCTTGATTTTTTTGATGCAAAGTCGTCAGTAGCATCATCAAAATTCAGATTTAATAACATGTCACTGTTAATATTTGAAATTGATAAGGTATTCAATATATCCTCTACCATGGAATTCCTAAGTAGGTTTTTCACTCTTTTTAAAGTTGAGGATGACCTTTCACTACTGGCATTACTAATCATCAGGGATAGTAAAACAATTTTCAGTAATTGCCAATAATCAATGAATAAGGAATTTGTTGTGATTATCCCTAAAACAACACTTAGTAGTGTTCATATTTCGATCATTTATTTTTGAGATTCTAACACTTCTTTTTCGTGTATTGAATGTAAAAGAATATAAAGCATTCCCGTCTTGAGATCGTGAGGTTATCGGAGACGGTTCTGTCAGTTCTGATTCTGTCTCATTTGAATTTAGAAAAAATGAATGTATTTAAGAGCATTTCTTGACAATTTTGTCTAACTGCTTTTGTTTATTGATCTTCTGTCGTTTCCAGAATACACCACCTTCTTTTTTACGCATTTTTTTAAAATTTCAGTTTCAATATTTATTTATTATTAGTACCATTACCAACGACAACCTATTAAATACTGAACTCTGATTTTGTTTTTTTGTTATTGAGCGGTTTGTCTTCACATCATCATATAAAAGTACGTACCGCCGCCGCTTTTGTATTGTAGCGTCCAAGGAACAACTGATGCTAGATTAGTGCATCTTATGATTTTCAGAAAAACAGTATCTCAACCAGTAGATGACTGTATTGCTGCTTGCTTTTTCACTTTTCTCTTTTTCTCTACCGCCTCTTGAAATTCACCGCCGGGGGCTGATAGTCCCATAGCCCCCCCCCCCAAATCCGGTACTGGTGAGAACACGGGAAATCAATTCACTCGCTATTCGAATTTCCATCGGATAACGTAATTCTATAAAAATGGAAACAGAATATGATGCGTCCGGCATCGAATATAGGTTCAGGCCACAAAATTTGCGAGGTATTCAGATTTCTTGGTAGGATATAAAACATTTTTCGAAGAATTTTTATCAGGTACACTTCAGAACGGAAGATTTGATGTTGCAGAATTCGATCGTATTGAGAGAAAGAGCCGAACCCACCATTTATAAAATGAGCGAGTATGTAAAAGAACCTTATTCCAATTTCAAACCAAGTTGTTCAACTACTCTTACAAATTGGGGATATTCCCGTCCAACTGGAAAATTGCAAGAGTACAACTAGTTCCTAAAAAAGGCAAAAAGACCCTATACCTAGCAACTACAGACCGATCGCATTGCTATCTATTATTTCAAAGATCATGGGGAAAGCTATCAACATCGAGCTCAAGAAATACCTGGAACATTCTGGTATTATCAACGATAGGCAATATGGCGTCCGTCATCAGAGATCAACTACTGGTGACCTGCTCGCTTACGTCTCACATATATGGCAGCAATCTATTGAAAAAATATGGTGAAACCTTATCCGTGGCACTTGATATCTCCAAGGCATTCGATCGAGTCTGGCACCACGGACTCCTCGCCAAGCTTCCATCTTATGGCTTGCCTCCCCAGCCATGTTCTCTGCTAGCTAATTTTCTCTCAAACAGGTCTCTCCATGTAGTGGTTGACGGAGTTTTATCTGACTCTCTTATCATAAATGCTGGTGTTCCGCAAGGATCAATTTTAGCACCAACACTAGATTTGTTGGAAACAACTTCATGTCCAGTACACAGGTTCGCGGATGATAGTACCCTCCATACCGCCTTCTCTTCCAGGGCTCCAATACCAGCCAGGCAAATCAGAAACGAACGAGGGAGAAATGTTGACAACATAAATATGGACTTGGCAACAATTCTCGAATGGGGATCCAATTACTTGGTAGATTTCAATGCAAACAAAGCACAAGCATGTCTTTTCTCTGGAAAAGTTGATCTCACTGTGCCCAACATAAGTTTGTCAGGAGTAACCATACCTTTGAAGACATCCATTTCGATGCTTGGTATTGCTATCAGCAATAACCTTTCTTGGGAAAATCACGTGAGATCAATTGCTAGAAGTGCATCCCAATGACTTGGTTTTCTGTTTCGGGCCAGGAGTCTTGGAATACTGTTCCCATATTTGGAGTGCAGCATCCAAGCATACCCTGAAACTGTTGGATTCTGTCCAAAATAAGGCAATTCGTCTCGTGGGTGATGCCTCGCTCACAAACTCACTCACTTCTCTGGAACACCGTAGAAAAGTTGGCGATCTGGCTCTATTTTATAGATATTTTCATGGGCGATGCTCTTCTGAAATATCAACAATTGTTCCTCCCTTGGCAGTCCCCGCGAGATTAACCCGTCGGGTTGAGGCTTCGTACCCCTTCGTGGTCACTTTGGAGACCTGCAGACCATCTCTTTCCAAATACTCGTTCATCCAACGAACAGCGAGGCTCTGGAATACATTGCCAAGGGATGTGTTCCCCGAGGCATATAACCTCCAGAAATTCAAGAAGAACACCAATTCCTGCTTTATTTCCCTTGGTTCTTACGATGTTCTCTGAACATATAAATATATACAGTGTCATTCATAAAGTCGTCATCAGATAGGAAAAACTTTTATTAATGACTTATTTTGAAATTCGAGTTGGATGTAAAGTTTTGCTTCAAAAAAGAAGAAAAATGGACTACTCAATGGGGGTCACGTGATTTTCGCAACATGTCAAAAGTGACATTTTTTCAAATTAATCACTGAAAGTAGGCTTATTTGTTCGAATATCGAAAAAGTTTACTTGAAAAAGTTGTTTCTATTTTAATTTAACATATGACTCGGATTTTATCTCTCTATTACATTTTTTAGATTTCGATATTTTTTAAAAATTTTCGAAATTTCTGTAATATTAAAATTTTTTTCGATAAAACTACTTCATACCAGTAGCTTCATCATGCTACTTACTTTCAATTACTAATTATCACAAATTATCGACAAAAATGTGATTTTCTTCAGAAAATGATAATCTCCGGTTCAAAATTCAGTTATGTTTGATGCAAACATAACATCAAAATTCTGTTATGTTTGAGTCAAGCATTCAGAAACGGAATTTATTCAAATTCATTTTTTCAGTACTGAAAATATCAGTTTAAATGAATTTCGTTTCTAAATGCTTGACGATATATCAACTTTGCATCAAACATAACAAAATTTGGAGGCGGGTATTATCATTTTCTGAAGAAAATCATATTTCTGTCCATAATCAGTGATAATAAGTGATTGAAAATAACTACCATGAAGAAGCTACTGGTATGAAGTTGTTTCGTGGAATTAACAATTCTTCAAATATTACAGGAATTTTGAAAAATAAAAAAAAATCAAAATCTAAAAGTCGCAATAGAGATCAAATTCGAGAAGCATGTGTAAATTTGAAATAGAAACAACTTTTCCAAGTAAACTTTTTCGATATTCGAACAAATAAGCCTACTTCCAGCGATTAATTTGAAAAAATGCCACTTTTGACATGTAGCGAAAGTCACGTGACCCCGATTGAGTAGGCCGTATTGCATTTTTTCTGAAGCAAAACTTAACGTCCAGCTCGAATTCCAAAATAAGTCGTTAATAAAAGTTTTTCCCATATGATGCCGACTTTATGAATGACACTGTATATATATCTATCTATCTGAACATTACTACCTCTGATCACAGGGAGGACCGTGAAGAGGAGGTTGAGAAGGACGTTGTGGAGCATCGCGGAGAAGATCCGCTCAGCCACATAGAGTACACGTACGAGGACGAGGATATCGCGGTCGAGGGCGAAGAGAGCGTTTTCGAAGAGAATGGCGCCGAGCATGTGAGTGCTGTGGCCATTGCGGAGGCGACCGGGGTTCTCGTTAGGAATTAGGTGAGGTTTTTTCTTAATAATAATAATAATAATAATCTGTTTTCTGTGACGGGAAAAAAGTTTGGCATTTCATCTCTGTTGGCAGGTTATAAAATGTCACTTTTCATAAATTACTTTTTTCCCCGTGGTTACGTATATTACTAAACAACCACTGAATTCGCAATTTTTTGAAATCGTATTACAGAATTAGACTGACATAACTGACATCATATAATTGATTACTTCAAAAGAATGATAAAGATGCCTACAACGCAAATGTCCCTACTGTTGAAAACTTGAAATTTCACGTCGATTATTTTCAGATTCCAAAATAATGTAATATCTTCTCAATATTGATCCGTCCTTTCTCCTGTCACAAAAAAAGTGTATTATACCGTTACCACCGATACAACAAGGCCAGCAGACTCTGACGTAAACAACTCGTGACGTCACCAAGAGAGGCCAGTGTTTTATTTTATCGCTTGTCGACTAACGCCACAGTTCGTGTTAATTCATTGGTGATTCACGTATGTTTTTGAAACGGTCCCGAATTCTTTTGTTGTTTATTCATCAAAATAATTGGCGGAAAAATTACTGTTTTGTGAAATATTTTGTGTTGTGATCGGCGAAATAACAATGCCTTTCAAGTGTTGTGTTCCCTTTTGTCGGGGGAATCTAGGGGGAATTATGTGGGTGGTTCAAAAGTTCATGCTTTTAGTTTCCCGTTGGACGAGGAGCTATCGAAAATGTGGGTATATGCAATTCACCGCGAGGATTTTACTCCATCTAAGTTCAGTAGTAAACAGAGCTTAATTCATAATGATGAATTAATAATAGAAGATAATTACTCTCTCATAAAAAGTATAAGTAGAGGAAAAATAGAAAAGCTTTGATTGTGCAGTCAATTTTGTGTTCGTATATTATAGTCAACAAAATCATCTCTGAATTCGAGAAAATTTTCTTGAATGTTCATAATAAACGGGCATTTTTAATTCTCATTCTCAAATTTCTTTCTGAAAACGGTCATTTGCCTCGTGGCAATGAATGCAGAATTCATTCCAATGATCAAATTGCAACTATCATATTAACAGGAACTACAAACACTCTACTTAAAAAGGTAAAACTGCATTTATCATGATATTTATCATGAAGATATTTGACTAAAAAGTTCCAAATTTCACCATCTTTTTCACCTGTCTTCTGGATGGCATTTAGGACAAATTTCCCTTCCTTTTTCATCATATTGGACAATTTATATATAATTCAACTATAAATATGATTTCCTTGAGATTAATCCATATTTAGTGAAAAGAAGGAAGAATATCATTCAAAATAATGGCGTGTGTAATGTCATTCGAAGGTGACGTCACCCACGGAGCATGCAGGCCTTGTTGTATCGGTGGTAACGATTATACACGGAAAAAATATCAGATTTTAGCTCACGGTTTTTCGTCTCCCTGGAGCTGAAGTCTACTACTTTTTTCCCTTGTATAATGAATAACTATTATTATTCCCAAGATACATACCGGGTGACACAGGAGACATGTAACAGCCTGTAGTTTTTTTATTTGAAGAGATAAAAATTTGAAATTCACAAGGGTTATATTATCGATGACGGCGCTTTCCTTGAACCCAATGATAATTTTCAACCACCTGTTTGATTGGAAGTAGATCAAACATTTTTTTCCCAAATGGCACCCTGTATATTTCTGTAATCTATCTTATGCGCATTGAAATTCTCTATTCAACTATGTATCACAATTTGATATTTGAGTGATGATTTTATTTGAGAAATAAATAAAAAACAGTCCACTCTCCTATTATAATATGGTTTCGAAGAATAACAATACTGTTTGATTGACTATTAACTATTGTTTTTTTTCAGGATCCTGCTGATCAACATTCATAGACTTTTTTATTCCTAATAAGAATATAACTGAATAATATTGTTCAAGTTTTTATCATTTCAGATGTTGTTTGTTCATCGTATTTTTATGATATACAGTTTTTACTCTTTTAATGTTTTGTCAAACATTTCTATTATCGCTGAATATGTTTTCAACGTTTAGCACTAGGTAAATAATGTTTAATATTATAAAACATTTCAAAGTGATTAAACTAAAAGTTCATATAGTTGTGTACAAATATATAAAATGACAGGTGCTCGGACTAGGTTTATTATATCTTTTATACAAGATAACAATTCCTATGACCATCTCTGTAATAAATGACAGTAAGGGATATATTTTCATTTGACTACATTACGATAATTATATAAGATATGGGTCAAATGAAAAATGCATTTATTTGGGTCTTTAATTGAATTATCACTTCATAGGAAGATGAATTCATTGTACTAGAGTTCGTTAATTTACTTGACACTTGAGTTTTTCAAACAAGAAAACAAAACTTTCCTTGAAATTGAAGTAGAAAAGTCATAAATTCTTGTAAAAACAACATCCTGTATTTATGATAACTACAAGAGAATATCGGAGTATCTGATGAAGATGATCATCAAAAACTTTTTAAATGATTTTTTGAATAGCAAATAGCAAAATCATTCCCACTAAATTAACAAATATCTAACTTATTTGTATCCATTGAATTTCAAGATGGCAGCTCTAAATTACGGCTGGGGAAATTCAAATTTCAAATATGGAAACTGATGATACTGCCGTTTTTTTAGAGGAAAGTTGAATTAAATTTGGTCAATAAAAATGAATGATTTTTTTGTTACTCTTATATCTTTGAAAGAATGTTCTAGATTTTTTGACGGGAATTATTTGAACAACAAATACATGCCTCTATACGTACACAACTGATGGTTATCAAGATTTCAATAGTGAAAATCGAATTTATTTCACGTTGTATATTACAAAATTTTTGATTGGAGAGATAATGATCTGCTCAAGTTTTTCCATCAAAATTTGACAAAACAATAATTCTAATGAGGACTAACATTTTTTATGGTCCAGCAAAACGCGCCACTGAAACGTAAGGTCAGGGTTGGTAGAACTGATAAATATACTTTTTATTTTCATGTCATTTCTCCTCTTCTACGTCAATGTAAGAATTGTTCCCAAAAACGTAAGTCGGCTCAGGCCTTTCGATAAATTGAGGTGTTCTATTTGTTCAACATAATTTTTTTAGAATATATTCGATACAATGTTGTTATCAGTGTTTTGTTTCTCCAAAACCACTTGACCGCAGATTCCGCAATCATGGCATATTAGTTCACAATTGACCGCAAGATGGCGACACTTTACAGATTTCTTTCATGTCAGAAAACAGGAAACTGCGCTCACACACCGCTTACACCAGAAATAATATCATAACATAACCTCAAATCGAATGAGATTGAATTTGAAAGTACGAAACTGTATTCGCAATAGAAGATAACACGTCGCTCTACCTCACGGCAACAGCTTGAACACGTCTGAGCGGTTTGTTCTGATGATGTGGCCAATAAGAACAAATAAAAACATATGTGAAACAAAGTAAACAGGCCGCTTTGACAGCTTTCAAGGTCTCCAATTGGTGGCGTACGCTTATTTTCTATCGCGAATTTTTGGGGAATTTTAATTATCATCAGTTCTACCAACCTAGAATTTCGGTTGAGATTTTCTGTCACGTAGCCATAGGACAAGAACTTTGACCGAAAAACAGTATATGGAATTTGATAGGAGTTTCTACACCATCTTCAGTTCATCCTGATTCGATAAAACGGGCCATAGGTTTTATATTTTGACACTGACCTCACGCTCACGTTTTAGTAGCGCCAACTGGTGCAAGTGAAAATGGTAGCCCTCATTGACCTCACTCTAAGTGGGAGTAATCCCAAATTTATATCTAGTGTTTATTATGTTATTATTCTCATTTAAATTATTGATTATTAGTGTCCTTTATTTGTGTTCAAATAAAAATATATTTTGTAACATTAGATTTTTTTTATTGAACAGTCATGGAACATCAACTTTCAGACAGTTGACGTATGACACAGATGTGTTTTATTTATATAAGTATTCCAAAATGTCTACTAAACAACAACCCACTGATTCTATCGTTTTATAAAGAAGGTACTCCTGAATTTAAGTTTTTTGGAAAATAACTAAGGAATTAATTCATTCATTCATATACTAAGAATTTGTAACTATAATAGATGCCTAGCTCTGCATACCGACAAGGAAATAAAACGAAATCATGTAATTTGATGTTTTTATTCATATAAAATAAATAGAAGGAAACTGTATTGGCAAAACAAGTATTCAAAATGTACTTACTATCCAATACAACCTTATAAAAATTGTGAACAAAAAAACACTTGATTTTCAATTTGTATAAATTTTTGCCACTTAATATGATATGCAAATAAGAAATATTTTAGTTGAAAATCAAATATAACAGAGGTATGGTATGTAATTAGATACAATTTATCTAAATTTTTTGCTTATTGAGAAGTATTCATTCGACAAACTGATTGGCTCTGACTGTTTATAGCTATATCTTTCATATGTTTTTCCACCTAGAATATAAAAATTAAAGTATATAGAGCAGTTCAGCTAGCATTGACAGAGAACAAAATGTCTTCCTTATCTGTCCTTGTCCCATTGTCTCCTAGTGTTCTAAATTTTTGTTGGCAACACTGGAAATGAGAAGAAATAGAGAAGAAGACCATTTTAACCTTTTGTTATATTGAGGTTAATAGGATCTTCTCCATTTTTTTCTCATTATCAATGTTACCAATACAAAATTTTCATTATTTTACATGGGAACACTGAAGACAAGGACAGTTGGGAAATACCTATTTGCTCTCAAAGCTGTTATTCAGGATAGAACATAACACGTGGCTCCATCTGGCAACACAACAGGCCGCGTTGACAGCTCTCAAGAACTCCTGATATGTAGCATATAGATGTATAGAAATTCAACTGGTGCGCTTACTCCCTATTGAAGGTCGTTTGCAAGTTTCTCGATGGCGCCTACTCTGATAAGACAAACCTTTGATATACACACTTGACGTGGGTAATTCTCGCTAAGCTCATCCTGGTTACAATTCATATTTACAGGAAACATATTACCGACCGATAAATATTTGGATACGTATATGATTTGGATCAGAGCAGTGAACTGATTCCTGATCAAAGGATCGAAACGTCAATATGTAAAAAATATTCTTGAGCTGAAAAATTGGTTATTTTTGAGATTGGGGTCAAGATTTCATGCTTTAAATAGGTTCATGTCATGAAAGAAGTGAAGCTTATTAAAATCAGCTACAAAAAAGATTTCTTGCTTCTATTTCAAATTGAAATTTGAATGAAAATGTTGAGCACTGAGGAAATCAACAGATCAATGAAAATATCTTCCAATTTGAATTGAATTCTTGGTGCATTCGCAAGTAGTACCTATATGATTAGTTGTTAGTTGAATTCCTACTTACTTTTGGTACAGAAAACATAATATGGAGTTGGGGATTTTTATATGATCCGCATATATTGCAGCAAGGCCAGTCCATGATGAAATATAAAAACTAAACACAATGAACCAAACAAACAACAAACCTACTAAACAACAATTAGAGAATTAAACACTAATGAACAACAATTACAATTACAGGATTAATACACTAAACATTTAATATCTCCTATGAATTTTCGGAATTTTCAAATCTAAACCACTGAATACGAATTGACAGATGTCACTGACGGAATTCGAACACAGAACAATGATGGAAATAGATTCATCCCTCACAGAACCAAGGTTTTGAACGATTTTCCGATTACGGCGCCTCTATCGTCAAATACGGGAACCCCACGTCCAAAACTCATTTGCAATTGTTCCATATCCATAGTTAGTCTGAAGAAACAATTGAAGAGTGAGCCCACCAGTTAAATTTCTATATGTCTTTGGTAGCATACATTCATTTCTTATTGTGATTTATCACATAAAAAATTAGGAGACAAATGGAAAAATGCAAAATAATAACCTAAAAAATAATCTGTTTCTGACTGAATTTGCTGAACCATTGAAATGTATTTAATTAATAATAAATGATCATTATTCAACCTAGTGGGACAGTAAAATATTAATAAAGTTTATGATGATGCCCAAATAGAAAATCTACAGGGTGTTCTTACAGAAAGTATGCCACTATTTCTTTGATGTTTCTCTTGTTTTGAAGAGAATGGAATCCAGATGTGATGTTATAGTACCTATTTGATTAGCTAAATTTAAATGATGCTGTAAATAGGTAAGTACACATACCACTTTTCTTATATATTCATATACTTTGCTGTTTGTATTTCCTCTCACATTTTCCAACTGATAAGGTGGGCTAATTATAACCTGGAAATAAGAAGATTATTAATGTTTCCACTGTGACAACCATCAAAGCTAAGGAACCATCAACTTTTAGTGCTTCTACAGCTATGATGACCAATAGACACACCTTACTTTTTAAATTATTCACCTTGTCCACAGACTACCTCTGCAACAAAATCCTTGTTATTTTTCTTACCTCCTGATTCCACACAACAATTTCTGAATTGTTCCACCTGACTTCACTAATTGTTTTGGCTATTGCTATGAATAAACTTTGCCCCTCTGAGCTAACATTTGCAGATATTGCTTCAAGCAAGCGTTTTTTCTCATCCACTTGGTTTCTAACCCTGGTATTTAGCTGAAATAACACTTTCATTCATAATTTAACTTTCATTGGATCTTAAGCCTCACCCTTTGTAGATTCAGGGACTGTGGTACTTCTGGTACATTGGTAACTTCTCTTTTTACCTGTAACTCACTAACAAGTGATAAATTAACAAAGTGTATGTCGTTTTGCTTAGGATCTCCACTTGTAGAAGAACATTCTGGAATATTCATTAAGGAACATTATGATATTCATCAAATATGTTGAAAACAAATAGGTAGTAGTTGAACAAGGTTTTCATGCATTCACTGGACTTTGCATCCTGTTGGAAGGTTACTGCAGAACTGAGATATGTTTTGGAAAAGCCTAATGTATGATATGGTTAATTGGTCACTCATTTTTGAGACTATTTGAAGAGACGATACGTAATTGAACCAATACTTTCTCATAAAAACCTCAAAACACTATCATACAAAAGCAGGTAGTATTACAAAGATAAGGAATTCTGTAGAAAAGGATACTCAAAATTAATACTTTCGATGGTGGATCGAACGCCAAAACTTCTCCTTCGATTTCTTTATCATAACAAGTTCTACACCAAACAACACTTCCTAAAGAAAAAAAATCTGAAACGGCAGCCATTTCGCAAAATAGAAATGGCAACTTTCAACATAGGGAAATTTGCTGTTATTGTGCAGTGTGCAGTAGTTGGTAGATCTGTGTGATTGACACAGAACCACAAATATTGAAACTGTTCGAGAGAAACAAGATCGGTGTACAGACGCAATTACGTCACAATCAGTGACGGCTAAATATATAGATTGTCTGGCGGGTGACCCGTCAGAGAGTCTAAATATTTAGCCGTCTTCGTCACAATAGAGACAGGGTGCAACAAATCATTCAAACGGTGGGGGAACGTTACAGCACGTATACAGATCACCCAACACGCGGAACCAAACGTTACCGGAAGAGAATAATAGTAAATATCATTATTAGTAGGTATATAACCAATACCCTCAAGACTATAGGTCGCGTGCACGAAGACCGACCCTGGAGGCAAAATATCGAAACACAACCTCATTCTTCTGTGAATTATTGAAACACAACCTCATTCTTCTGTGAATTATTGAAACACAACCTCACTTTTTTATTTGGTTACAGAGGAATCAAAAGGTTGAAATAGTTTTTCACAATATTTTGGCATACGAATCGTGTTTCTTGCGTTATTCATTAATTCAAGCATGCCTTCGCATTGTGCTGTTGTACAATGCACAAAAAATGCAGCAAGAGACTAGGGAATATGATTTTTCAGGTAAATAGTAATCTCACATAGTTATCATTATGAAATGTTGTCATTCCTTATTAAAATTCCTTCTGCCTTCTGCCACTTCTGCAATTCAAGCTAATGCTGCTAATAGATTAAATGTCTACAACACACACGATCGTCAGCATGTCAGACCAGTCCTATACCGATTGATTGCATGAATTCAATCTTCTTGCATTATTCTAGAAATTTCAGGTATATTTCTATTAGCTGATCCTATTGCAGAAGGAATTCCGATGAGAAATCAGAGAAATAAGCAAATTTCAAAAATGAAAACTATGTGAGTGACTATAGTAGGTACTTACTTTTGAATCATAATGTACCATCCGGATTTCTTCATCTTTTGCTGCAGTTTTTGTGCATTTTACAACAGCACAATGTGATGGCATTAGCGAATTGATGAATAGCGGAAAAATACGATTCTTATGCCAAAATAATTGTGGAAAACTATTTCGATCACTTGTAAACAAATATGTTTTGCCTCCAGGGTCGGTCATCTGACAGTTCTTGCACGCGACCTATACGAAATTTCGGGTCGAGAGTTATGCCAGACAATAAAACATCATTAAAAAAGCGAATCGCTATCGGCCTTAACTTCAAGTGGCCTTAACAGCAATTTTTTCAGGAATTCAGGAATGATGAAAACTATCTCTTCTCTTCCTGAAAGATATATTTTTCGGAAAAGCACGCGAAGAAAGAATTTTGTCGACACAAGCAGTTGCCCAATGCCCACAGCCTACAGCTGGAAGCAAATTTCATCACAAGGATTGAAGACTCCTAGAACTTCTATTCCTGTAATGAGGGTTGTCAACATTCGCGGAGGTTTGAGAGATCTCGTTCATAGATGGCGACATGTGCTTCATCTCCTTCCCTCTACTTAAGATGCCTAGACCACTACTGACTCTACTCTTTGTCCTGACGCAAAAATATTTCTAAAAGTTGGAAATTTGAAGTTCCGGAAAAAGAATGCTTCTGGACTCATCATTTCTACCAACTGCTTCTACCATATTCGCTACTGAACCAAGTATTTTACAGGGTGCACCAAAAAGGTGATGTGTACAAAATCTTTCAGAACATATATCAGTCCTGAGGGCAAAATAAACCTACCTCAGTCAAAAATTGCTCCGTTTCCGTGATACAAGATGAATTTGAAGAATAAGAATCGACAATAAGTACCCTACAAAAAAGTCGAGAAAAAAGTATTTTGAATTTTGGCACCATGAGAGCTTATACAGGGGGGTTATAAATAAAAACAATCAACACTTCCAACTTCAACATCCTGTATCTCAAAAACGGAGCAAGCTAGGACACATGTTCATATGAACTTTATTTGCTAGAATATCACAAGGAAATAACACCCCTTGAATAATTTCGGTGTTATTTAGATACACGCTGTATATACATATATTATCAAGAACACGTCGATCATATATCTTTACATCTCAAATAATTGAAAGACTTTATGGAAATGATCCCTCTTCAGAATTATTGTTGAATAAATAATCAACTTGAGGAAATAATCAGTTTAACGATAGAACTTAAAACGGCGAATCAATCAAATCTAACCGAACACAAGCAAACCACTTGAGAAAGTTATTTTGGTATTTCAACATTATTCGCTTATTCTGATCCACAATATATGTGAAAATTAAAAATAGAGCAGAGTCGGTCTACTCACAATCAGGATTGTTACCGCACAGTCAGTCCATTCTGCGATGAGAAAATGTTAGAAAAAATAAACAAAAAGGATTTGTGTCATGTGCTAGCAAACATCAGTTAACAACATAGGCCATATTTTCGTGTAATAATAATCATTTTCAACTTGTGAATGTGAAATGTCGCGGTACAGGACGGAAACCGAGAATCTAGACTATGAAAAAACCAGTGCTTGCACGAATTTCCTTCATTATTCGTGGAAAACAATAACCTGCCTTTTTTCGCACATCACTTTGGTTTCTATGGTGGTTTCGTATTGTGTTTTAGGTGCGTTCACTTTCGAGGCACTAGAAGTTAATAATGAAAAACAGGTTGGTACCTATATGCATTTTTTATCGATATTTATACAGGGTGTATCTAAATAACACCGAAAAGCTTCAAGGGGCGTTTCCTTCCCAGCGAGCACAAACATCCCTGGGATGTTTTGGGATGTTTTGAAAATGTTGGCATGAAGATGTTATTTTGAGACGTAATATGCACTGACCAAAGAGGTCTTAGAAGGATATTGAAAGTATTGTTTTTGTTCTTTTGTGCCCTTTCTTTGATTGCCCCACCACAACGTCTCATGCTTACGTCACAATACAATGAATTCTGATTTGTTTTCGATTTTGTTCTTCTTGTTAGCAATTGGCATTCGCGTTTGAAGCGTGTCACGTTACATCACGCTGCTAACGAACAGAAAGGAATTTGGTGAAGTTTATTGTGTTAGAAGACTTATTTTGTTTGTAATAATGACCATCAGATGCAAGATTTGTTGTTCGGTGCCTCAGTGTAATCAATATATAAAAGTACGAATTCATCAATACACAGCTTCTCCGCAGTTGCAAAATTATGCATTGTGGAGAACATTTCAAAAATTGGCAAACTTATTTCCAATTATATGTCTGTGTGTAGTAAGCACTACTCAGAAACCGATTAAGAAGGTAATTTCATATCAAGAATATATTTTTATGTTCAATCTATTTTTAATGCATTTTTTCATTCAAGGAAAAAAGAAATCCTAATGCAAAAGTTCATTTTGACAAAAGGCTTCAGAAAAGTACCTCGAAAATGTTTTTTTACAGCGATGTGTGCGATGTGTCCATGAAAAGGCTTTAAAAAGAACTAGGGAGAAGGTAGTTTTGTGACATATCAAGGACATCTCGATAATTGCCGCCTGCGGCGGACATTGGCTGTTCTATAATAGTTCTATTCATGTGTGAACAGAACATCGCAGTGGAGGTTCAATGTCTCGAAATCTCGTACTTTCAACATCTCTGAGATGTTTTTGTGCTCGCTGGGTGGGATTCGATAGGAGTTTCTACACCATCTTCTGTTCATCCTGGTCGTAACTATTCACCAGGTGAAGCGAGGCATCCCCCGAATCAGAGAGAACGTCACGCAGCACCTATGGAACTTCACGCAGGAGCTGAACGCTCTGGAAGAAGCGAACTTCACGCGTGGCGCCAAAAGGTACCTCAGGTCCTTCGAGAACGCTCTGCTAGACGCCATGACCAAGGACGGCTGGGACGGCATCGAGGACGAGCACAAGGTGCAATGGACGCTCACCGGGTCGCTCTTCTACTCCATCATCGTCATCACCACCATCGGTGAGTATTTGGAGAATCAGGATCTCAATATTTACAGGGCGATTTTTGATCGGTACCTACTTGGGAAATTATAGCTCATGATAAATAATGAAAACTACATATACACTTATAATGCCCCTGTATCTGACGTATTCGTTGGGTAGGAATCCTGAAATTTGCTGAAGCGGGAGATTTTTTTTTGTTTTTTATGTTTTTTATGTTCTGGTTCTCACGAAAAGGGATATCCTGTAATGTTCAGAGAACATCGTGAGAACCAAGGGAAATAAAGTAGGAGTTGGTGATATGCCTCGGGAAAAACCTCCCTTGGCAATGTGTTCCAGAGCCTCGCTGTTCGTTGGATGAACGAGTCTTTGGAAAGAGATGTTCTGCAGGTCTCCAAAGTGACCACGAAGGGGTGCTAAGCCTCAACTCGACGGATATATCTCGCGGGGACTGCCAAGAAAGGAACAATTGTTGATATTTCAGAAGAGCATCGTCCATGAAAATATCTATAAAATAGAGCCAGCTCGCCAACTCTTCTACGGTGTTCCAGAAAAGTGAGTGAGTTTGTGAGCGATGCATCACTCACGAGACGAATCGCCCTTTTTTGGACAGAATCCAACAGTTTCAGGGTATGTTTGGGTGCTGCACTCCAAATATAGATCATAAGCAGCTGACTGGAAGTGAAATAGCTCCTGGCCCGAAACAGAAAACCAAGTTTTTGGGATGCACTTTTAGCAATTGATCTCACGTGATTTTCCCAAGAAAGGTTATTGCTGAAAGTGATACCAAGCATCGAAATGGATGTCTTCAAAGGTATGGTTACTCCTGACAAGCTTATGTTGGGCACAGTGAGATCGGCTTCTCTAGAGAAAAGGCATGCTTGTGTTTTGTTTGCATTGAAATCTACCAAGTTTTTGGATCCCCATTCGAGAATTATTGTTGCCAAGTCCATATTTATGTTGTCAACATTTCTCCCTCGTTCGTTTCTGATTTGCCTGACTGGTATTGGAGCTCTGGAAGAGAAGGCGGTATGGAGGGTACTATCATCCGCGAAGCTGTTTACTGGGCATGGAGTTGCTTCCAACATATCGTTAATATGGAGTAGAAATAGTGTTGGTGCTAGAATTGATCCTTGCGGAACACCAGCATTTATAATAAGAGAGTCAGATGAAACTCCGTCGACCACTACATGGAGAGACCTGTTTGAGAGAAAACTAGCTAGCAGAGAACATTGACCAAAAATACCCTCTATGACCAAGTAGGGTCATCTTCACATCTATACACTGCTTGCCAACAGCTATGGAACCACCCCGATCTCCGGAAAATGATATAAAAGAAGTCGAAATTGGTTGAAAATCATTTCTGATTCGGAATCAGGACGCTCAATTCACTGACTATTCTGTTATATTATATTTACTATTATTATTCCTGGATTAAATCAGTTATGAAAATTTTATTTTTGTCTCAATTTTCATGGAAACACCCTCGTTTCTTACGTAATTATCGAATATAAGGACTGTTAAATTTCCAGGAGCAAGAAAAAATCCAAAGATACAGTCAATGACCAATGGAAATAATAATCTACAACATGTTCGGAAAATCATATTAACAGACAAGATAGATTGGAAATCACTGCGGATTCGACAACAGAAAACAGAACGTCTAATTCACTGAGTACTCAAATTCCTTCTGAACAATTTTTAGTTCAGAAATAATAAATTCTGTCCCACTTTTCATGGAAGCAGTCCAGTATTGTACGTGATTATCGATGTAGGAGTCTGAATTTTCCGATTCAATAAATTTTTCCTGCTGAAATGTCGGTGAGATGATTTACCCCAAAATGTCACTGCGTTTGAAGAATTTACCTATCAGAGGGCCTGAAAGAAAAATTCACTAGCTTGTCAGTGACAATTTGTATTGAAAAAAGTTTGGAGAAGAGAAATAAAGGAATATAGAAGAAATATCAAATTGTTACTTAGCTTTGGACGTTTCGGGACCGAATATGCTCCCGTTTTCAACATAATAAATGGCTTTTTCAATGACAAATTCCTCATGGTATAAGTAGGTAGGTACATGGTCAGGCTAGATAAATATACGATTGAAGAAATATCCCTGACTATTCCACTCTTGATCTCGAGAACCAATCAGAATCGACCATTTTCATGGTTTCTTCTGTATTCTAGCGATATTTTTTGTTTATTAAATTTTATCGGACTTGCTCTACCAATACAGAAGCCGAATCGACCCACACGTGACCAACTAACCCGAGAACTAACCTCGTTTATCAGCGATACAATTTTGACATCGTCTCTGGTCAAGATTGCTTTGGATTCAAATCTGAGCCAATAACCTAAGTTCCTACTTTATTTTATTTACTTATAATTCGCGTTAGTGAGATATTTTGAACAAAAGGCAAGACAATTTTATTCTGGCTGGACGTTTCATGTGTAATTTGAAAAGTTTGTATATTTGTTGACGGTCTGACACAACAATAATAGATTCAGATTCCTTTTTGAAGTAATCTTCTTCAATTACTCAAGTTATTGTGTCTGACTGATATAATTACTAGCTGAGGTAGCGCAACTGTTATAGGGTTGTTGCGCGAGGATACGAAGGTCGATGGTTCGAGCCCTCGGCGACAGATATCTTTTTTTTTCAATTATTCCATGTCACATAAATTCAATTCATTTTATTTGAATTGGATAGTAATTGTATACACTCTTTTGAGAGCAACCATCTCCAAGATAATAAAAAAAAATACTGTTTATCAAAATTGTACATTCCCCTTTGTGAATAACTATAAGTAGGTAGTTAATTTCTAAAAAAGTAAATTCTGTATTTCATTACTATCATCATGTTCTTCTTCGCAGTTCGAGTTGGAATATACTCAAATTATGTTTCCTATTTCTTATATAATATATTGTCTCATTCAATCATGAAATAGTCATACGAACACAACTCGTGATACTATTTTTCCTGGAAATATTTGTCGATTGACATACTCCAGCTTGCTGCTCTAATTTCGCTCATGACATTGATCCAAAATTACTCGCATACGGCTCTTAGTTTTGATAACAATGTCATTCACGAAATTACTAGGCAACAAGCTGTCGTAACAATCACCGAATATTTCCGGCAAAATATTATCACTTGTGGTATTACATATGATAAATATCATCAAAAAGGCAGAAAATGATGGAAACGATAGATGGAAAGCTAGAAGGATGAGAAGTTTTCCTGCATTTTTGGACTTTTAGGGTTTATATGATTCTTAAGTTATCTCCCTATTTCTCAACATTTTCAATGTTTGACAGATATAATGTTCACTTCGTATAAGTATATTATATAATATCGGCACATCAAACATATTCTGAGCCTTATTTTGCATTTAAAAACGTCTTTGACAGGTCTGAATCAAAGTAGCATCCTTGGTAGCATCGTTAGAACTAAGAACAAGAACGTCTATTTCTTCAAATAAGTTTGGATTTCATAGAGCAAAATACGCTGAACACTTAACTCTGTCGTAAAAACTCTCAGAACTAACGATGTTGGTTATACAATTAGGAAGGTAGTTCCAAAGTTTCGAGATTTACTTCACAAGGGTCTGGTATACACCAGCTAAATATAGATGGGGCAAAACTTGAACAGTCTGGTGTTTTCTGAAGTAGTGTCACCTACTAACTAATTCAATCTCAGCGAACTTCTCCCAATAAATAATTGAATGAGTAACACGATTCTTTTTGTTCGTTTTTCTCAACTACGCCACCAGTCTTGTTCAAGGAACTAGATATCATCAAGAAAGCAAGAGCAAGACAGTGCTGTTCGGCTAACCAGGTCTCATCAACAACACTCGGTCTATAAAGTGTGTTGGGTATAGTTCCTACTTCAGAATCATTCGGAACATATACGTAACGATTTCCATCAATTTGCATAAAACTGTATCTCATAATAGTATATTATGTAACAAGTGTTATAAACGTCCTTTTAGTAACGAGTATTTTAAGCACGAGCGGAGCAGAGCGGAGCGAGTTTTTAATAAACGAGTGCCTAGAAGAGTTTATAATCGCGTTACATACTATGCTTTTTCTACGAACTCCGAAAATTACATTAAAATACCTGCTATTCCTGCTAATCTACAAAATAATTCGAATGGAATGGGAATTGAGAACATACTACATGCAACTGCATGCAACCAGCGAGACACGTATAAGTAATATTGATTGTAGATGTGTCCAGTCCATTGCTTACTAACCTTTGTTTCACGTTTATTGTCATGCTTAGCGCAGAATAAATAAATTGTTTTCATTTTTACACTTCTTGGAGATATGCAAGTACCAGAACATTCTCTTCGATTTCACTTTCGTCTACTTTTCGCATATATTTTTTAATGAAGAATTCTGATACAAACGAATATTGTTTGAATAATTCTGATACAAAATTTGAAAATGGCAGTTGACATTTAATACAATTGACAGGCCAGACATGTCTCAAATTACTGAAGCTGTGTTTAATGAACTGCGTTGCCATGGTAATGTGTTTAAGAAATCGTGTTGTCATGGTAACGTGTTTAATATTTCGAATAAATCACAGATCGACAATCCGTGATTAATCGATCATTTAGCGTGGTACATATCCGTACGCTAAATGCCATTTTAGTTATGTGAGTAGAAAAAATGAATTATAAATTCCCAATCAAGGTAAATAGAATTCTCAACATAAGAACGCTTAAAATATTGATTGATGATGAATTATATCAGATGATAAAAATACAAATGTTATAAATAAATATGTTTATTTTTCACAGTTTTACATTACGTGTACGTCGTACACTTCATGACATCTATATACTAAAATACTATTTATCGATATTCCATCATCTAATTCATTATCGCAACATATTTCTAAGATTGATACTTTGGTATTTTCGTCTATGAAACTATACTTTTTGCTTGGTGTCATCTTTTCACATTCTGAATTTGAGATTTCATATCGAGTATTCCAATGACAAGGAAGTATTT